CACCCCGCCGTGGGGGGAGGGGGCGCCTGGTCCCCCGCGTGCGGGCCAGAGCGGCGTTTCCGCGATCAGACCTCGTGCTGCTCACGGCCAGGTCCCCGCGAGCCCACCCGGTAGCACCAGGACCTGCCCGCTCTGCGTCCGTGGAATTTCTGCAGAGCTGGAGGCTAAGGACAGCACATCTTCCCTGGGCCTCAGCCCCTCCGGCTCCGACGCCGGATCCCCGGCCGATCCCCGGCCGGGGGCACCCTCCCGCGAGGCCCAGGATCAGGTGCTGCGGGGGCTGTCACAGGGGCTGTGGGTGGGGGTTGTCCCTCCCTCTGGCGGCGGGACAGCTGCTGCCCACAGACCAGCGCCAGCAGGACCCACCTCGGCCCCAGGGCAAGGCTCCTGGAGGCGGGTCTCCTCCCCGACACCAGCCCCGGGCCTTCTCCAGCCTCTCCAGGACGGCTCCACCCCATGTGCATCCCGGGCCCTGGCAAAGGCTCAGGCCCAGAGCCCCAGGGCGCCCATCGGCTGGGGGAGCCTTCCTGGCACTGGCAGCTCCAGCCAGCAGGCCCAGACCGTTTGGTGGTGAAGAAGGCATTTGGGGGGAACATAGGCAGGATCAGGAATTTCTTAGAATTGGGGTCCATGGAAAAGCGCGGGGCTGCAGCCTGGGAGAAGGCACACTTCCATAACCCCAGGAAGCAGGTGCAGTGACATCTCCAGAAGACAAGGAAGCAGCAACAGTTGCATTTACATAAGACAAGGACACTGGAAGTGGCAGGAAAGGTCTATATTTACAAAATAAAGAGAAGGAAGAAAGCCCTTCATTCAGATGGAAAAGAAGAAAGCGCAGAGGAATGGAAGGACTAGAAGGAGGAGGGCCTTAGGAATCACTATAGTAACCAATTCAAGGGGAATATCGACAGATCAGAGGGGATATGAGGACAGAGGAACTGCAGCCTATATAAACGACAGAGAAAAGGAACTCCATGGGACCCGTTCCCCCCTCTCTACTTGGAAGTTCATTCTATGGCACCCTTACCCCTCCTTACGTGGGAGTCTCTCAATAAATCTTCATCTTTGCTAGACCACTTTCCGTCCGTGGATTAATTTCTTGGATTCCAGCGAAAAAAGGATCCGGGTTCCAGTCCAAAAATTCGGTATCAGTGGGAGGATCGGTCCTTCCTCTCAGGGTTTCTGTCCATAGGAACTGAGCCCTCTGCCCCTTCCGGGCCACTGGCTGCCCCTAACCCTGCCCCCTGCAGGGGAGCCAGGACGGAGCTGGTGGGCTGGAGGGCCGCCCAGGAGGGGCCGGGGGCCTGGGCTGCACCCCTGCACCCCACGTGCAGACACCGTGGCCTCCAGAGGACCCGCCGGCCGCCCTCACCCAGCACCGCTGCTCCCAGCTGCTCAGTCAGCCAGGCTTTCCTCAGGCCAAGGGTGAGCTGGCCCAGTGCCCCTTGGGTCAGGGTCAGACACTGGAAGGAGGGACCCCCCTCCTAGGCCCCTGGTGCAGCCGCTGCTCCCAGCTGGAGGCCAGAAACCAGGACCATCTGAGAAAGTGCCAGGACCCCTCAGAGCAGCAAGGGGGGCTGTACAGGGGCAGGCGGGGCGGGCAGTGCCCCTGCCCAGGAAAGGCCAGCATTGTCACGCACAGGTGCACTTTATTGAGCTCAGCTGCAGACAGGTGTGTGCACAGGTGCAGGGAAAGGGGTGGGCGCCCGGGGAGGGCCAGCAGGGGGTGGGGAGGACTCGGCCACCTGCCATGGCGGTGACTAGAAGCCTCTGTTATGCATCACGGCCTGCATGACTCCCGGGAGCACAAAGACCAGGAGAACAATGAGTCCGATGGTCATAAAGATGCCCAGGACCACGGCCCAGATGTTCAGGCACTTGGCGGTGGACGCATAGCTCTGGGCCCCAATCACGTCTCCCACCATCTTCCGGTCCCTAGACTGGGGGAGAAGAGATGGTGTGGTGAGGGGTCTGTCTGGACGGGCCCTGGGGACAGCCGGGTGCTGTGACTCAGGCCCGGCTCTGGCTGCTCCCTGCCCAGACCAGCCTCCACCTGCCCTCAGCCAGGCCAGCGACCCACTCCCTGTTCCCTGGAGCCTGAGCAGGACAGGCCAGGGGGGCCTCCCTCACAGCCCCTCAGCCTCTCCAGGGCCTCAGGGCTCCTCTCCCCTGCCCTGGCCCCTTTGCTGGCCTCTCCCCCTCCAGGGCTCAGGGTTTCCTGAGAACTTTTGTTTTCTAGCCAGAGCCCTGAAGCCACATGGCCAGTCAGAGGAGTGTAATTTCTGGCTGATCAACAGGATATTCCTTGGAGTCCAGGGGACAAAGGCTGACCCTGCTGTTCCCAAGCAGCCTCAGCGTGACCTGCACACAAACACACACACACACACACACACACACACACACGGGCTCCTCAATCCCAAGGGTCATCTGGGCAGCACACCTGTGGGGGCACACACGCCTTCCATGTAATCCCCACCCCAGACCCCCCCTTCCGCGTACCCACCTTCACGGAGAAGGCGAACGCCACGAAGCCCAGGCAGCAGGTGTTGAAGAAGAGGGTGTTGAACAGGGACCAGACGATGTGGTCGGGCACCACTGTGTCAGTCTGGATGTTGACCACGGTGGACATCACGGGCCCTGGGTTCTGGTGATCCCCCAGCACAGACACCTCGTGTTGCTCCCTGATCATCTCTGGTTTGGAGAGCAGGTGGGGTCCCAGGTGAAGAAGGTGGATGCTTCCCGAGGCAGAGACTTGAGCCGTGTGGCTGCAGCTGCTGTGACTGCACAAGCCCCTCCCTCCCTGGGGAGTTGTTAATTCTTTAAGTTTCTATTTCCTCCTCTTTTTAAAACGGTCTGGCTGATTAGCAGGGGGTGGGACACTCTTCATGGTTTGCTAGGAGCGGGTGGGAGGAAATCCTGAGGTTCACCGTCATCTACGTGCCAGTTTCCTGTCTGCGTCACTCATGCAGGTCTGGTCTCCTCGAGGACTCGGTGGGCCCTGGCGGCTTTTCCCAGGCGGCAGCCACCCATCCCCCCAGCCCAGGCCCAAGCCCCTGTGGTCTCACCCCCCATGCAGGGCCCTGCCTGTGGCCCCGTGGACCCCACACTCCAGCCCCAGAGTGAGGCCGCCCCACAGCTCACCCTGGGCTGGCTCAGGCCTCTTCTCCGAAGCCCACGCTGCTGCAGGTGGGGTGGTGCCTCCTGGTTGGGCCTGGACCCAGCAGCCCCTGTTGCCTGTCTCAGGGGGCCCTGCAGGTCCTCTCTGGGGGTGTGGGGGGGGGGCGGTGAACAAGGACATGGGTGCTGGATGCTGGAGGAGGCGGCTGGGGTGGGAGAGGGAGGATTGGGGCCCAGGGCAGCATTTTGGAGCAGGAATTTGGGGGGAATGAAGTATGGTAGCAATCATTTCAGATTGAAACTGTAGTTTAACTCTAACCCTGTTGTTTGGCTTAACAATAGAAAAGTTACTTTGATTTTCTGAATTGTATAAATCATCCCATTCGATTGAATGACTACCCCATTGATTGTGATCTTACTGGTTTTAGAGGGCACATTCCTCTGTACCTGGGACCCAGGACAGCACACTTATCCCAAGACCCGGGGGTTCCAGATACTGTGTTCCCGCCAACTCAGTGGTTCGAGACCCGAGGGCTCTAAATAATGAAATCCTGCCAACTCGGTGGTCCAAGACCCCAGGGCTCTAGATAACGTGTTCCTGCCAACCCAGCGGTCCCAGATGATGCGTTTCTGTCAACTCAGTGATCCGGAGACCCAAGACTGTCCTTAACATGCTTAAGGACATGTAAACTGCTCTTTTTTCGAACCAGGTTCCTCATTCCAAACCCTGAGATGCAATCAATACCTTCATGATTTTTGCGTATATAAATCTGGAGTTGCGACCATCTTACTATGAGATTTGGGGAATGGCCCCGCATAGTCCAGGATTGCAATAAATGTGACTCTTTAATTCGACTTCTTGAGGCGTCCTTCTGTGATTCTCGGGGTACGTTACAAAAGGAACAGAGGCAGGCTTAGGGTTTTTTAGAATTGGGGTCCACGGAAAAGTGCGGGGCTGCAGAATGGGAGAAGGCACATTTCCATAACCCCAGGAAGCAGGTGCAGGGACATCTCCATAAGACAAAGAAGCAGCAGCAGGGGCATTTGCATGGGACAAGGGAACTGGGGTGTCCAGGAAAGGTCTATATTTACAAAATGAAGAAGGAAGGGAGCCTAGAGGGAAGGAGGAGGGAGAACCTCAGGTGTCGAAGGGGAATGTGGATTGATCAGGGTGGATATGAGGACAGAGGAACTGCAGCCTTTATAAACCACAGAGAAAAGGAACTCCATGGGACCCGTTACCCCCTCCCTACTTGGAAGTTCATTCTGTGGGACCCTTACCCCTCCTTATGTGGGAGTCTGTCAATAAATCATCATCTTTGCTAGACCACTTTCCGTCCGTGGATTAATTCTTCGATTCCAGCGGACAAAGGATCCGGGTTCCAATCCAAAAATTCGGTATCAGTGGGAGGATCGGTCCTTCCTGTCAGGGTTTCTGTCCATCGGGACTGAGCCCTCTGTCCCTCCCAGGCCACTGGCTGCCCCTAACCCTGCCCCCTGCAGGGGAGCCAGGACAGAGCTGGTGGGCTGGAGGGCCGCCCAGGAGGGGCTGGGGGCCTGGGCTGCACCCCTGCACCCCACGTGCAGACACCGTGGCCTCCAGAGGACCCGCCGGCCGCCCTCACCCAGCACCGCTGCTCCCAGCTGCTCAGTCAGCCAGGCTTTCCTCAGGCCAAGGGTGAGCTGGCCCAGGGCCCCTTGGGTCAGGGTCAGACACTGGGAAGGAGGGACCCCACTCCTAGGCCCCTGGTGCAGCCGCTGCTCCCAGCTGGAGGCCAGCAACCAGGACCATCTGAGAAAGTGCCAGGACCCCTCAGAGCAGCAAGGGGGGCTGTACAGGGGCAGGCGGGGCGGGCAGTGCCCCTGCCCAGGAAAGGCCAGCATTGTCACGCACAGGTGCACTTTATTGAGCTCAGCTGCAGACAGGTGTGTGCACAGGTGCAGGGGAAAGGGGTGGGCGCCCGGGAGGGCCAGCAGGGGGTGGGGAGGACTTGGTCACCTGCCATGGCGGCGACTAAAAGCCTGTGTTATGCATCACGGCCTGCATGACTCCCGGGAGCACAAAGACCAGGAGAACAATGAGTCCGATGGTCATAAAGATGCCGAGGACCACGCCCCAGATGTTCAGGCACTTGGCGGTGGACGCATAGCTCCGGGCTCCAATCACGTCTCCCACCATCTTCCGGTCCCTAGACTGGGGGAGAAGAGATGGTGAGGGGTGTGGACGGGCCCTGGGGACAGCCGGGTGCTGTGACTCAGGCCCGGCTCTGGCTGCTCCCTGCCCAGACCAGCCTCCACCTGCCCTCAGCCAGGTCAGGGACCCCCTCCCTGTTCCCTGGAGCCTGAGCAGGACAGGCCAGGGGGGCTCCCTCCCAGCCTCTCAGCCTCTCCAGGGCCTCAGGGCTCCTCTCCCCCTGCCCTGGCCCCTTTGCTGGCCTCTCCCCCTCCAGGGCTCAGGGTTTTCTGAGAACTTTTGTTCTCTAGCCAGAGCCCTGAAGCCTCATGGCCAGTCAGAGGAGTGTAATTTCTGGCTGATCAACAGGATATTCCTTGGAGTCCAGGGGACAAAGGCTGACCCTGCTGTTCCCAAGCAGCCTCAGCGTGACCTGCACACAAACACACACACACAAACACACACACACACACACGGGCTCCTCAATCCCAAGGGTCATCTGGGCAGCACACCTGTGGGGGCGCACACGCCTTCCATGTAATCCCTACCCCCGTCCCCCCCTTCCGCGTACCCACCTTCACGGAGAAGGCGAACGCCACGAAGCCCAGGCAGCAGGTGTTGAAGAAGAGGGTGTTGAACAGGGACCAGACGATGTGGTCGGGCACCACTGTGTCAGTCTGGATGTTGACCACGGTGGACATCACGGGCCCTGGGTTCTGGTGATCCCCCAGCACAGACACCTCGTGTTGCTCCCTGATCATCTCTGGTTTGGAGAGCAGGTGGGGTCCCAGGTGAAGAAGGTGGATGCTTCCCGAGGCAGAGACTTGAGCCGTGTGGCTGCAGCTGCTGTGACTGCACAAGCCCCTCCCTCCCTGGGGAGTTGTTAATTCTTTAAGTTTCTATTTCCTCCTCTTTTTAAAACGGTCTGGCTGATTAGCAGGGGGTGGGACACTCTTCATGGTTTGCTAGGAGCGGGTGGGAGGAAATCCTGAGGTTCACCGTCATCTACGTGCCAGTTTCCTGTCTGCGTCACTCATGCAGGTCTGGTCTCCTCGAGGACTCGGTGGGCCCTGGCGGCTTTTCCCAGGCGGCAGCCACCCATCCCCCCAGCCCAGGCCCAAGCCCCTGTGGTCTCACCCCCCATGCAGGGCCCTGCCTGTGGCCCCGTGGACCCCACACTCCAGCCCCAGAGTGAGGCCGCCCCACAGCTCACCCTGGGCTGGCTCAGGCCTCTTCTCCGAAGCCCACGCTGCTGCAGGTGGGGTGGTGCCTCCTGGTTGGGCCTGGACCCAGCAGCCCCTGTTGCCTGTCTCAGGGGGCCCTACAGGCCTCTCGGGGGGCGGGGGGGCGGTGAACAAGGACATGGGTGCTGGATGCTGGAGGAGGCGGCTGGGGTGGGAGAGGGAGGATTGGGGTGCAGGGCAGCATTTTGGAGCAGGAATTTGGGGGGAATGAAGTATGGTAGCAATCAATTCAGATTGAAACTGTAGTTTAACTCTAACCCTGTTGTTTGGCTTAACAATAGAAAAGTTGCCGAAACCGGTTTGGCTCAGTGGATAGAGCGTCGGCCTGCGGACTGAAAGGTCCCAGGTTCGATTCCGGTCAAGGGCATGTACCTGGGTTGCGGGCACATCCCTAGGGGGTGTGCAGGAGGCAGCTAATCGGTGTTTCTCTCTCATCGATGTTTCTAACTCTCTATCTCTCTCCCTTCCTCTCTGTGAAAAATCAATAAAATATATTTAAAAAAAAAAAAAAACAATAGAAAAGTTACTTTGATTTTCTGAATTGTATAAATCATCCCATTCGATTGAATGACTACCCCATTGATTGTTATCTTACTGGTTTTAGAGGGCACATTCCTGCCAAAACCGGTTTGGCTCAGTGGATAGAGCGTCGGCCTGCGGACTGAAATGTCCTGGATTCAATTCCGGTCAAGGGCATGTACCTGGGTTGCGGGCACATCCCCAGTAGGGAGTGTGCAGGAGGCAGCTGATCGATGTTTCTCTCTCATTGATGTTTCTAACTCTCTATCTCTCTCCCTTCCTCTCTGCAAAAAATCAATAAAATATATTTTTAAAAAAAAAAAGAAAGAAAGCACATTCCTCTGTACCTGGGACCCAGGACAGCACACTTATCCCAAGACCCGGGGGTTCCAGACACTGTGTTTCCGCCAACTCTGTGGTTCGAGACCCGAGGGCTCTAAATAATGAAATCCTGCCAACTCGGTGGTCCAAGACCCCAGGGCTCTAGATAACGTGTTCCTGCCAACCCAGCGGTCCCAGATGATGCGTTTCTGTCAACTCAGTGATCCGGAGACCCAAGACTGTCCTTAACATGCTTAAGGACATGTAAACTGCTCTTTTTTCGAACCAGGTTCCTCATTCCAAACCCTGAGATGCAATCAATACCTTTGTGATTTTTGCGTATATTAATCTGGAGTTGCCACCATCTTACTATGAGATTTGGGGAATGGCCCCGCATAGTCCCGGATTGCAATAAATGTGACTCTTTAATTCGACTTCTTGAGGCGTCCTTCTGTGATTCTCGGGGTACGTTACAACAGGAACAGAGGCAGGCTTAGGGTTTTTTAGAATTGGGGTCCATGGAAAAGTGCGGGGCTGCAGACTGGGAGAAGGCACATTTCCATAACCCCAGGAAGCAGGTGCAGGGACATCTCCATAAGACAAAGAAGCAGCAGCAGGGGCATTTGCATGGGACAAGGGAACTGGGGTGGCCAGGAAAGGTCTATATTTACAAAATGAAGAAGGAAGGGAGCCTAGAGGGAAGGAGGAGGGAGAACCTCACGTATCGAAGGGGAATGTGGATTGATCAGGGGGGATATGAGGACAGAGGAACTGCAGCCTTTATAAACCACAGAGAAAAGGGACTCCATGGGACCCGTTCCCCCCTCCCTACTGTTAACGTAAAAAACCACTGAAACCTGTGAAGAATTTTTGTGAGTTTATTGGAGCCAAACTGTCGACATATGCCGGGAAGCAGAACCTCCACAAATTGAGGTAATGCTCCGGAGAATGGCGGGGTTACATTTGTATTTATACATTGTGATCAAAGGAGGGATGTCGGTGGGTTACATGAAATTCATTGGTGATAGATTAAGGAGGAGGGATAAAGCAAAGCAGGGAAACCCCTGGGATTGGATAAAAAGTAAAATGATGGACACACACTTAGGTGGGTGCAGGAGCCATTAACATGATAATGACGGAATTGGTGGTCTCTGTCCTCACCCAGCACATTTGGTTGTGCCCCAGGGGCTCCAGAAAAAGGGAAGTTACAAGTTACCCAGACATTTCAAGGCTGTGTTATCATAGATGCAAAAAGACAGACAGGCTCAGTTACGGTAAAGCCTGCCCTTGTCAGTGAAGATACCGGTCTAGGACGTAACTGCCCACCATCACCGCTTTTAGTTAAAGTTTAATTTCAGACCATCCTTTGTGGTGGCTTTAGGTCTCCGAGTTTGCAAGACGGCCATGCAGGCCTCCCCTGAGCTTGTCAGGTCAGCATGTGGCCCCTTTCGCCCACACTACTTGGAAGTTCATTCTGTGGGACCCTTACCCCTCTTTACGTGGGAGTCTGTCAATAAATCTTCACCTTTGCTAGACTACTTTCTGTCCGTGGATTCATTCTTTGATTCCAGCGGATAAAGGATCCGGGTTCCAGTCCAAAAATTCGGTATCAATTTCACACCAGGGCCAAACGCCCGAGGGGAAGGGTGGGGTGCGTGGGCTGCTAGGCCTCGCTGGGCCATGCCCTGCTGGCCGGGCCTTCCTGGGACTGTTACAGTAATAAGTTTAGTGAGTATAAGATAGCGTAATCAAATTTCATTTCTTTATTAGAGTGAATTTTAAACTTAGAAGTGAAACTTAACTTGTGTGTGTGTGTGTGAGACCCTGATAAGTAACTTGTAACGCCCTGCAAGTTAACTCCTGACCAATAACTTGTAACTCCTGACCAACAACTCCCTGCACGTGCATCCCTGATAGTAACCCCCTGCGTGAGTATCCTGATAAGCCCAGAAGGCCACCGGAGCACACTGACATGAGACACTGGAGAAGCCTGTTATAGTAATAAGTTTAGTTAACATAAAGTAGACTCCATTTTGTATTAGCATAAGTTAGCATAAAGTAGACCCCATTTTATTCTTAGACCAAAACTTGTAAACAACTCCAAAAATAAGACGTGTGTGTGTGATTGATAAGCTTTGGACATGGTCACAACTTTCCCGCCTGAGTGTATACCTAGATAACAGGGCGGCACCCGTGTATGGCACCCGATAGGAGACACTGAAGACGCCCAGCTTCAAGGATTTAAGGAGAGCAAATCTGCTGCGGTTCAGACGCTTGTCTGACCTCCACAGACAACCGTTCTCCTCCCCCCTGGAACTGCCAAACTGCGAAACTGCCATTCCTGCTCTGCCTGAGCCCAGACTGTTAAGAGGCCTCTCCTCGAGTCAAGAGACCGAGCTCCTTGCCGCGGCGTATTTTGACGACCTCCGTGTGTCTCCTCTGTTGGCGAGTGTCTCGGGTGGCCTGCCAATGCCTGAAACCCATCAGCTCTCTGGTAAATAAACCTGTGTGATTTCTTGCATTGTTTATCTCCTGTCTCTCTCTCTCTCCTTAGTTTTTGGTTAAGCTCGGCCATATTAATTAATAGTAAGTTCCCCTTGACGTCTGTATTGGTATATCCAAATGAGGCGCTCTGGGTCACCTGTGCATACGTCCATAGATAACTGGAACAGGGACCCTTTGTCCTCCAGCCTCAGCGCACCCCGTGGCATGTGTGGGCATCGGCCAGAGGGAGGCGACACCTGGGCTGAAGCGGGTCCTGAGACCCAGCTGCCATGAGGGCCCTGTGGTCGCCGCTGATGGGACCCTGCCCCCGCCCCGCCCCCACCACCTGCAGGAGCCCAGGCAGGGCGCCTCCCCTGCCTTTTGGGGCCACAGGCAGCGGCCCTGCCCCCTGGCTGCCAGCCCGGGGTCCTCCCTGCCGCCTCCCACTCCGCTCAGCCTCCAGGCTGGCCCTGCTCCGTGGGGACGCGCTGGCCTCTGCGCCCTGGACTGTGGCGCGTTCCCATGGAGAAGTGCTGTCTGGTTTTGAAGGCTCGGTTAGAAAAATAATTTTTTAAGATTTAAAACGTCCCATCCATACCATTCTTGATTACGAGATATTATTTCAGATCTAGCGCTGCTGATGAAATGGGTCATGGATGTGAGTCCTGCCGGCTTCTGTCTTGCTCCTGTTTCCCGTGGCCCCTGGGCCGCCAGCACTCACCCTGGACAGAAAGGGGGAGCCCTCCCAGAAGGGGGTGTCCAGTGGGGACCAGGGGGGCGCCTGTGTTTCTGGGGGATGAGTACTGGGTCCCAGTGTGTCTTCCACCGGGAGGCCCAGGCCAGTTGCTGTCCACAGTGGCCATTGCCAGAGGCACCCCGCCTGCCCTGGACCACCCGGGCACAGCCAGGCTGGCAGGTGTGTGCTGGGGTCCTGCCCCAGGGGTCCAGGGGTTCCCAAAGGTGTGGACGGAGTCGGGCGAAGAATGCTTTACACGGAGACAGCGTTCAGAACTCTCTAGCTCTCTTTAGTCTCCGTGGATCTTCCTGTGCCTGGCTGAGGCCACAGAGAGATCCCGAGGCAAGCTGAGCCTTTATATTACAGTCAGAGGTAAACAAGGTAGTGGTTACCAGTTACACTGTTCTTGTGAGTTTCACTTGTTTTTGTTCTTGTTGCACTTCCCTCAGCCCAATAGCTTCCCAGATAAGATCTAGGGAGCGCTATAAGGTCCAGCCTAATTATGCTAAGAGGACTGTGCCCTCTAAGCTGGGACTTGTTTGTGACTTTGCCAACAGGTCAG